GAATTTATTTTCCATCATCGACTGCCTGTGTCTTAATGTAATTATAATTTTCAAAAAAAGAACATATTTCAAAAATACATCCGTGTAGACAAGCGAGAAATGTACAACTCATACCAAAACTATTTACATCTATAAGGTCTGATCTAAAGAAAGTCCAGAGACGAAACAAATCTGTATAGTTTTTCAAACTTCGATTTATACCTAGAATGGACAGGTGGATTCTGGAATCTGGGACCCGGGATTCGGGACCCGGATCCCGGGACCCAGATGCAGGAACCTAAATCCGCGATTATTTTTATCCAAAAATAAACATATATAGCTAAATTCAAGACATGAAAACGTGGAATCTGACAAATATCTAATCGTGGTTTTATTTTTTTATTGAACGCGGTCATTGCTAGTAGTGAACAATCTATCTTATTGCTTTGTTGAACACTATCTATACGAACCAAGAGGAACACAATTTTCGGACCTTACGCAAACCGCCGAATTTTGAAAAGGACGTCAGTAAAGAATCCGATAATACACAAAATATCGACAAACTTTAAGCCTGTCGTTTACATGTCAGAATGTATGCGGGATGCAATGCCAGAACGCAATTCAAATAAAATCACATGGAACACTTTATGAAAACTTCAAGCAAACGCATTTGAAAAACCAACGACAAAAGCGAAGCGCCATAAAAAAAGCGGCATAGCATGAAAACATGAGGTAAAAAAATCACGTAAGTGTAGTTGCACCTGAGTGCCATGCGTATAAGAGACATGTAGACATGTACCTGGTGACAATATACATATCATTATCCATGCCAAGACATGCAGAATTTATTTTCCATCATCGACTACCTGTGTCTTAATGTAATTATAATTTTCAAAAAAAGAACATATTTCAAAAATACATCCGTGTAGACAAGCGAGAAATGTACAACTCATACCAAAACTATTTACATCTATAAGGTCTGATCTAAAGAAAGTCCAGAGACGAAACAAATCTGTATAGTTTTTCAAACCTTGATTTATACCTAGAATGGACAGGTGGATTCTGGAACCTGGGACCCGGGATTCGGGACCCGGATCCCGGGACCCAGATGCAGGAACCTAAATCCGCGATTATTTTGATCCAAAAATAAACATATATAGCTAAATTCAAGACATGAAAACGTGGAATCTGACAAATATCTAATCGTGGTTTTATTTTTTAATTGAACGCGGTCATTGCTAGTAGTGAACAATCTATCTTATTGCTTTGTTGAACACTATCTATACGAACCAAGAAGAACACAATTTTCGGACCTTACGCAAACCGCGCCGAATTTTGAAAAGGACGTCAGTAAAGAACGATAATACACAAAATATCGACAAACTTTAAGCCTGTCGTTTACATGTCAGAATGTATGCGAGATGCAATGCCAGAACGCAATTCAAATAAAATCACATGGAACACTTTATGAAAACTTCAAGCAAACGCATTTGAAAAACCAACGACAAAAGCGAAGCGCCATAAAAAAAAGCGGCATAGCATGAAAACATGAGGTAAACATGAAAACATAAGGCATAGCATGAAAACATGAGGTAAAAGAATCACGTAAGTGTAGTTGCACCTGAGTGCCATACGTATAAGAGACATGTACCTGGTGACATGCACTATGCCTAGATCCATCTAAATCTTCAGAATCTTAGGTCTACAAGCATCAAAGTTTTGGGGACGTCGGTTTAAATATATTTAATGTTAAGGGGGGCCCACCCCCCCTTAAGGGGGGTCATGTAGTATTAATACTTCTAGTAATAGTAGTAGTAGCAGTAGTAGCAGTAGTAGCAGTAGAAGCAGTAGTAGCAGTAGTAGTAGTGGTGGTGGTAGTAGTAGTAGTAGTAGTAGCAGGAGTAGCAGTAGGAGGAGGAGGAGTAGTGGTGGTGGTGGTGGTAGTAGTAGTAGTA